AAAAAAAATTAAATTCTTGAATTTAGCGACCAACTTTGGTCTCTATTGTCCAGATTTTAAAATATAATATTTGGATTAGAAACCAAAGTTGATCGCTTTCTAATGATTAATGATAAATTAAAAACAACGTATTTCATATGTAGAGACCAACTTTGGTCGCCAAATTTATATTATTAAATTAATATAGCGACCAAAGTTGGTCACTAAAGTCAAAATCAGAATATTTGGTCCTTTTAACTTAGAGACCAAAGTTGGTCGCTAATTAGCGACCAACTTTGGTCCCTAAAATAAAGGGACCAGCAATATTGCGACCAGGCATGTTTGGTCGCTTTTAGGCCTATAAGCGACCAACTTTGGTCGCTTTTTACCGGATTTCTAGTAGTGGCTAAAACAAAATTTACCGGAAAAATATGGGAAATAATTAACACAAATTTGCTTGAATTCATTAGAAGTAGTATATCATTCTCTATAATTCAACTAGGAAACAAATAATTGATCCATGAATATTTTCATGATTTCATCAATAGTCAATTAAGGGGTCGGTGCAAACTGCAATAGCAATTGCATATTAATTAAATAGCACATAAATATTTATCTAATCCGTTCTCATGGATCAAACAATATTAATAGTTGCTTTATATATTTAGTTACTTAGGTGGGCAAGTAAACCTAAATGATTAATTTTAATCATTTATCCTATAAAGTCTAACCTTTTCCTCTTTGAAAACAGCCAAAACTTATACATATGACGATTTCGAGTGTGATGGTCAATGAGTTAGTAGATCATACACTGTGTTTCAACTAACTTTAGTATTATAAGTTAGCTGTTTGTATGATTAATCTTTTAACTAAGTCACACTTTTATTAATAAAAACATACATCTAATAAACACTATGATGCTTGAGTGATGCGTGACCAAAATGAATTAATATATTTTCAGATAAAATAGAAATTGACGAACTCATAACGTAAGGTAGTTGTTGAAGGTGTGAAGTTTGCAAATCATCTAGTATTAGTTTTTTACTTTCATAAAAGGTAAAAGGTTGGTGTCTTCATCACTTATTATGGCTTTTAAATAGAAGAATTTATTATTAAATGTCTAATAGGTCTTCAAAGACGTTAGTGACTATCGTTGAGATGACGTGAAATTAATCTGAATAAAATACTAAACTTTTTTATTCACTAATCTTTGAGTTATCGTTGAGAAGAAAGAAAAATAAAATGAAAAGAATAATTTAAAAAATAAATAATCTGGCTTAAGAAAAGTACAGTTTACATAATTTTGGTCATGGGCTTTGTCTAAGATCCATCATCCTTGAAACTTGAAAGGTCTATGTTATGTCATTTTGATCTTTTGGATACGATGAATAAAGATGGCAACGAAATGCACTGATGATATTGTTCGTGTTGAATCTAGACCTTCACACATCACTAGGATCTTAAATGCATTATATATTTAACATTTCTCCTTATTTTAGCTGTGTAGAGTGCTAGATTCACTTTTTAAGACTCTTGCATCCTTCCGCCATTTGCCCCATCATCAGTTAAGGTAATTATGCTGACATCCTATGTTAGCACATTACTGATATTATTCATTTCCACCATGCATAACTTTAAAATGTGTCCCTAAGGTCTTAAGCTTTCTTCATTATATATCTCTTCCATGTTCTCATGTATTAACTGTGGTATACTTTTTTCTTCTTGGTTGTTGGCCGATTGTGCGTGGAACATCGGGTCATATTTATTTGTTGATTTAAATAGTATGGTCCTTATATGGGTGAGCGTGCTGAGTCAAAAACATTCTCTCTATCACCACAAGGTAGGGGTTAAGTCTATCTCCACAAGGTAGGGGGTTAAGTCTGGCATACACATTATCTTTCTCAGACCCTACTCGTGGGGATATACTGGGTATGTTGGTGAGCATGAGGCAATTTTCCCTAGTATTTGTGCCCTCAAATATTCTTGTATTCTTCCTTACATGGACAAGCATGCTGAGGAATAATACATGTTTGGGCAAATTTCACTTGTATTTGTACACTTCTCTACTTTAGTAGAACATGTAAATACAGTAGAGAAATCCTCAAGTACTCTTTGGACCTCTTAAAACATTGCTATGCACAGGTCAGACAGTGCCAACCTCATTCTTGAGGCAAATATCAGCTCAAAAATTCCCTTGTTTGACAAGCTGACAGCTTTCCTCTTTTGTGATTCTGGGAAAAGCCAGGTGGAATAGCATATAATCCTGAACTAAGGACATAAAAAGAACCAAATAGGTTGGCGAAAACTATTCAACAGAATAATCAGTGAATGGGAATTTCCACTGCAATATGGCTACACAATAAACACACCTAGACACAACACAACTACATTAAATCACCATTACAACAAGAGAGTTAATTCAACCGTCGCGGAAACTTCTAGGAAAGCACTCCCAGTTAAAACCCCTTGTAGAATCAATGGAGGGTGCAAGTCAAAGAGGGTCATACAAAATTTTGATCAAAGGGCCAAAGAACATCCTGCTCCTCGATCATAGCACAGATAACGTACTCTATCCTGCCAGAACTATCTACTCCATTCTAAATCAGCACCTGATCTTGGATTTGCATTGTTTGAACGGCTGGCATCTTCAGGCTTGAAGGAATTCACAGCAGTGTGCCAACCTAAAAGGTATGGCACAACAAACTGCAAGAAAATCAGCAGAAAACGTGTTAGAAGAGTAACACTGCTGGAAAGAAAGAGGAGAATAAATATCAACCAGAAAGAAGAACCACCTTGAAATTTCAACACCGACAATGATCACAAAGGGTTAGCTAGTCATAATGCTTCATTTTTAGCAAGAGGAATAGTCGAAGGAGGGCAATGTTGTTGGCAAAGAATTCTATGGACGGAATTATACTTGACACCTTGAAGATAGCTTCATTCTAATATGATTTAACTTGTAGTATAACATGAGGCACTTTTTGAAAAGCAAGATTCAGCTTCCACCACTTGCTATTAGTCCAAAATGCAAGAAAAGTAACAGGAGAAAGCTTATCAACTAAATTCCAAGGTTTTCACAATAAAGCACAAAGTACTCTGCATCTGAATGGACTCTGACCACTTTGCAAGGTCCAGGGGGACCTAAAGAAGAAAGCAATTCCCCGAAATAGAATGATCCTAAGATATTTCTACTTAGGTTGCCAAGTCTTAAGCTTGCAAAAGTTGCCACTAGTCTTATTTCTTTCTCCATTCTCATCCACGTTAATGGCAAACAATGGGGCTATTGAAATATTCACGGGGTCAACCCTGTCATTGAATCCTGACTAGGGAATTTAAGCAAAAATCAAAGGAACTGGATCTATACGTAGCATAAATAGCCAGCTATCTGCATGCATGAACTTTGGCAAAATTCGCTATTTAGCGCCACAAGCTGACAAAAATCAAGAGGCTTACTAGCTTAACAGAATATGACATGGGTGAGGAAACAATTAACGACTATATATCAACAAAAAAACTGGGAGACCAGCTTCATCTTACATTGAATGCTGAGATAAGAACTGCAAACTCTGCCTTTGTAACAGGGATGTAAATGTTCTCATCCAAATTAATAAGCTTGTTCTGAACACCTGCATTCATTAAAGAAGGAAGGCAAACAAGTTATGTTCTATGGTTCAGAAATAAAATGTCCAATTTTCACTGTAATAGAGTGTCAAGGAAGAAGGTGATTACTGAGATTGAAGAAGTGACCAGAGCCATCCGGAAGTGGCTCAACCTTCAACACCTTCCTGACTTTACCTTCATCACTGCAAAGCACATATAAGATGGCTTCTTAGAACTTAAACCAATGAGAATACATAGTATCAATTAATTCCCAACACATAGAATGCCTATCAATTAAAAATATTGATCTCCAAGCCAGTATTCTAATAAATACCGTACATTTATGCCTACAAATACATCGACAAAAACAAATCATAACCGTATCCAGGACAGTCGATTGATGGTAACTGCAGCTAATTGCCAAATCAGTGGTTACTACAATGTTCACATTAGGAATCAATAACACTAGGTTTTGTGACGTTGCGAAAAAATGTAGGTGTTACCTTCTTCCTTTGTTTGGATCATGGAAAAATTCACATGAATCTTTTGCACCAAGGCTGATAAGAGATCCCATTTCAGTCACAGACAATGAGAAGACCTGAAAACACAAAGGCACTTGGAAATCAACACAAGGAGAGCAGAAATAATGCCCGACTAGATGGCACACTCACCATGTTAGCAAAAAGTGTCATGGACATGTCCGCCACAAATAACTACTACATATTCTACTACCTGATGATTATATCGAAGCTAAGCCTCGCCCATGAGTTCAGCAGTGGGGCAAAGAGAGGAATTAAGGTAAAGATTACCTGCTTTCTACCCCAATCATACTGGCGAACACCAGCAGCAGGTGCAAACTGAAGCAGCACGAAACCCTCTCTTGAAAGCTTGAAGGCCCCTGACTGCTCCATAATTTACAACAACCAAAGTAGGCATTAAATTACTACCAATTCCTCAATAACTCATAAGTTTAAGCAGAAGAAGGGCAACCCAAACACATGGGGAAGCATACGTCTAAAGGTGAGAACTCTGGAGGCCGAGGGTCGACAGTGAGAGCTGCCTTCCCTTTGTATATCGAGTATCCAACATAAACCTTAGGCGTAGATGCCCCTAGAAAAACAAGAACAATTTTAATTCTTTCATACCACGAAATGGCTCATAAGCATATAAACTAACCAAGTCACTACAAACCAATACTACTCATGCTCTAAGCACAATGTACTAGAAAAGACAATACAAAAGGTAGAAGGGAGACAAGACTCTTTCTCAGACGAAATCAAAAGCGGGAAAACATTCTGACATTTTCGTTAATGACTACAGCTCGAAAAGTATTTCAGTATTTCCCGAAATTCTCTGTGGCCATCAGCAACTGCCAATACTGAACTTCAGTATTTGAAATACGAGTGAAATATTGAAAAATTTGTTTGTGGAGCATTTGAACTAAAATAATGGTTTTTTTTACTCCCAAATCTTCAACCTTTTTCCAAGTAAAATTCATGTCCAAACACAACAACTTGCAATGCTCTTTCCAACTTCAGCTTCAAATCCTCTTTCTTTTTCTTTTTTTTTCCAATTTCCACCAAATATTTTCCAAATGCCTAATATAGACTGCACCTACAACAAACAACTGTAAATCAAGCAAAAAGCAACTATTTGAGTGTAACAAATGAAGCAAATAGGGGAATTTTAGCAACAGCAATTCTCATTGTAGAAAAAGCCCTTAAACCTCAGCCATAGGCACCCAAAACCAAAACTCAGTCAGAGCTGGAATTTTAACTTAACCAGTCCATAAAATAGGAAAATAATAAAATAAAAACCAGACAGAGTCCAAGAAAGAAAACCCATTTGCAAAACTTAACAGAGTTTACCCTGTTGTTGCTGTTGCTGTTGCTGTTGCTGTTGAGGTTCAAAGTATTCAGAATGGCGGCATGTTAAGGAAAGGTTTCTAGGCAAAGCTTTAGAGCATTTTGTGTTGGAATATAAGGGGTTAATATTATTGAAGGAGGAGGAGAAAGAGAGAGGTTGATGATAGGGATAAGGGGAGGAGGTTTTAGAAGGGTTTTGGAGGTTAAGGCTAAACCCTGCAGGAGAAAGAGAAAGGTTTAACATGGCTTCTCAAATGGCTGACGGTAAATAATAAAGCTTTTATCTTTACCAAGAAACTTTTGCTGCCCAAGAATGGAAAGCCGTGTTCTTGGAGCGAACGAGCTTTCGGTTTAGTGCTGGAGAGAGGGAACAGGCATTTTGAGGGATAGTGTGTATTCTTCTAAATTAAAATGAAATTTACAATTTTAGCAAAAATATGGAATTAGGGTATTGCTATTTCGTCCGATACCCTAACATCGAAGTTCCTCTCTCTTTTCATAGTAGTTCTTATATTCCATGGTTACAAGTCAAATGACAAGAATAAATATGAAGTCACAAATTCTTACTTTATGCGTGATGGACTCTCATATTATATTGTCTATGCTCTAGTTATTAGATTTCAAACATATGGGATGTTAAGTTTGGCTCATACCAATTGTGGAGATATGTGTTTTTTGTATATTATAGAGCAATCCTCATATTATGACCTAGTTTTTTTGGGTTGCTTAGGTTCAAGGTCTATTTTAATTAAACCCATATTTAAAGGTGCAATCTTTTTTGATATTTTTGAGCTATTTATGGAGTCAAGTATAAGTTAGGTGCATTTTTTTTATTTTTGTCTATTTCTGGTATTTTTTGATATTTTTGATCTATTTATGGAGTCAACTACAACCTTTTAGGTGCATTTTTGCTCTTTTGGGGTCTATTTTTGGTGTTTTTGGTCTAATTCTTGAGTGCGGTGCATGTCACTATCCCAATTTTCCACTTTAGAATGTCGTGATGGCACCTAATCTCTAAGATTAGATAAGCCCAACATTTAATGATAGCTTAATAGAAATAACCAAACTAATGAGATACTAAAATAAAACCAGTAAGCTCGTATAAATTCCCAAAATAGAACATCATCAACATAATTCCTAGAATTGATGGAACTGAGTCATAAGTTTTACAGAATATTCTAAAACCTCTACTACAACACTGTGTGATAAAGGAAATAATAGAAATGAGAAGATAACGAAAGGTGACTCCGAGGCCTGCTGACGTCGAACAGGTATAACTTAAAGTCTCCAGAAAGCAACTAACCAATCAATCACTAGCGTCCAGCACGGGCAGACGTACATGAATCTGCACAAAAATATGCAGAAGTGTAGTATGGGTACACCACAACGGTATTCAGTAAGTATCAAGCATAACCTCGGTAGAGTAGTGACGAGGTCAAGTCAAGACACCTATTAGGAGAAAAAGAAACTAACAAAGTATAACATAATCAAAATATGAGCAGCGAGGAAGTAAATGGCAAGTAAACAGTTCCATAACGGAAATTAAGCAGTAAAGGCAACTAGGAGTAAGCACATGATGAATCAACAAGAAGACAAATACGAAAAATTACAAGTAAAACAACAATTCAACCAACATGCCTTTTCTACATGGAATGTACAAAAAGAAATCACAACCGAAATACTGACTCGTATTCATATTTCACAATTCAATCACAATCTATCCTTATATCATCGCGTGAGCCTCACGTTTAGTTTTGAAAATCATTTTCTCCGAAATAGCTATACGCGTTTTAGCCCACCTTATCTCACCGCATAGCTTCAAGTAGTTCCCCTACTGGCAACACGCGTATTTATCTCACCACATGTATATCAAACCCTACCCTTATCACACTGCATGAGTATCAATATCACAACACAATAATAACTCGCACCACAAGTACCCATATGCCACAACTTGCTAAAAAGTCAACAATACCAATGTTTCCATAACAAATAGCTCATGGCTTAACCACAATGTGTACAAGAATTTCAATAATAACAAAAAGAATGAGAATTGCTCAACAAAGAAAGATATCTCAACAATTAGCAATTTCACCTCAATGTAATAACGACTTTTACAACTTCAACACCAATAACTCAACAAGAATATATTCCACGAAATAACAACTTCAAGTAGAAGTAATTCAACAACTAAAGAGGTAACAAGGCAATAAGAAAGACAATAACTTAAACTAAAATATATAAGAGCAAAATAATAAGTAAGAGGTAGAACAAGTACTAACAACATCAAATAAAGCATGTAAGAGTAGATCATGTAATAGTAGATTAACAATGAGAGATATAACATGTTATAGCAATTCAATTAAAGGCATGAAAAAGTCTAAATAACCTAAGCTGGTCAAATACCACATATAGTTAGCATACGCACTCGTCACCTTACGTACATGTCTTTCACATAACACAAATGGCTCAGTCAACCCAAATCCTAAGGCATAGTTCCCCCACAAAAAGTTAGGCAAGATGCTTACCTCAACTAGGCCAACTCAACCCTCGGAAGTGGCTTTTCCCCTAAAATTTGCCTCCACATGGCTCAAATCTAACTAAAAATGACTTAATAACATCAAACAATGCAAGAGAAATCAATTACAATAGATAAAATTAGGATCTTTACACTTTTCCCAAAAAGTCAACTTCGGGCCCGCCTGGTCAGAAATCAGGTCCAAGGGTAGATTCCGACTACCCATAATTTCACGAGTCCATATATGTATTTTGTTTTCAAATCTGAGTCCAAATCAACTCTCAAAACTCAAATATTCATTTTTCAATACTTTGATAAAAATCCCTAAATTTTTTCTTTGATTCACATAAATTTTATGTTAAATCTATGATATAATCATGAAATGTAGTTGGAAATTAATTAGCATCACTTACCCAATGTTTGTAGGTGAAAATTCACTCTTCAAATTGCCTCATGCAGAGTCTAGGATTCTAAAATGAAAGAATATGATAAAAATTCCCGACTCTCAGCACTTTTGTTCAATCGTAGGTGTCGCATTTGCGACAGTAGATTTGCATTTGCGAACCCTCGAAATTGCAGAACATGGATCGCAATTTCGAACCCTGACAGCCTCCACAAAATTTGCAATTGTGGCAAAGGCTTCGCAATTGCGAACTAACTTCCTTCGCAAAAGTGACCGGTGGTCGCGATCGCGACCCAACCCAAGTATGTACTGACTTCCCAATTTACAAAGGGAAATGTCGCATTTGCGACATCTGCCATTCCCTACCTACTTCAGAATTGCGACATAGAGCACCAACACACCAACAAATTCAGTTTTCAGTCCAATCCTTCCAAACCACGTCTGAAACTCATTCGAGCCATCAAGGCTCCAAACAAAATATCAACACAAGTATAAAAATATCATACGAACTCGCTCGCGCGATCAAAATACGAATTTAACATCTAAAACTACGAATCAGACACCAAAACACATGAATTTCAAAGTAAAGTTCAAGAACTTGTAGAATTGCAACTAAGCGTCCGAATCATATCAAATCAACTCCAAATAATACCAAATTTTGCAGACAAGTTCTAAATAGCATAACGGACCTATTCCAAGTCACAAAATCAAATTCCGAATCCGATAGTCAAAATTCAACCTATGGTCAAACTTCTAAACCTCAAATTGCCAATTTTCGGCAAAACGACACAAATCAACCTATGTATCTCCGAATCCGATTTCGGGCATACGTCCAAGTCCAAAATCACGATACGAACCTATTGGAGCCTTCAAAACATAGTTCTGGGGCCGTTTCCATAAAAGTTAAACATTGGTCTACATAATCAACTTAAGCTTCTAAGCCAAGAGTGAAAGTGTCCAATTCAACCCAAAACCTTCCCGGAACGAAACCAATCAATCTTGTAAGTCATAAAGCCAAAATTACATATATGTAAAGTATCAAAAAGGTAAACAGGGCGCAAATATACAAAATAACCGGTGGAGTCATTATAGTGCAACTTCTTGAGATGCAGTTTCCGTTACCATCTACTATGTTTATGGTGTTCAGTGCACAATTAGTAGTGTAGTTTATCGGCTTCGACGAGACTTCCCTAGTATTTCTCGTTAAATTAATTTTTCCTTTCTCAACCAAAGTTTGCTTAATATTTTACGGATCAAATGTGCACATTTTTCACAAATTTAAAGGAGCAAAATTGTTCAAAATTATATATATAAGGGACCATTTTGAACCTACCCCAAATATAAGGATCATTCCAATAAACTCTTCCTCATTGTATATTATGGGAACCGTAGGATTCCCATGCAAGGGGTGCAGAAATATGAGCCGTAGATGGGAAAGTATGGAGCCCATTATCCAAAACATTTAAGACCAAAAGCAGAGGATAAAACAATGAAATCTTGCTGTCTACTTTGCATCCACATAACTCTTTATAAGATCAAACAACTCCAAACTAAATCTCTCTGCTGTTTCAATTCAAGGAAATCTATCATTACTTTCCATGAACTATAGCAAGAATGTCAGCAGCATTATGTTCATCATTTCGGGTAATGTTGCCTCAATGGAGATACTGTAACAAGAACTTGCACTACTGGATTTTGCCTCCTTCTAAGACAAAACTTAACTTCCTTTATTTTCCAATCTTCTCTTCTTTTACTGATGATGATTCTGTCAAACCCATCAAACAAAATCAGGTACTATTATTTTTTTAGTCTCTTCTGTTTTTACATAGACATATACTAACTTATGGCAGAGAAATGAGATGAAATGTGCTGTTTCTTATCCAATATACCATTAAAGTCGCAAAATTATTTTTGGTCACGTTAAAGATTATAACACTAAAGTCACATAATTATTTTTTGTCACATTTAAGCAACTGAGCTTGAGCTTCACCGACTATGAAAGTATAGTAACTAAACTATGGTGGTAAAATGTATTAACTTTACTTAGTGGTGAAGTACAATAGTGGCATATCGTCATAATGGGTAAAATTTAGTGGCTTAATTGATATAGTGGATAATGGGTATGATGCACAAGGCATCCCGCGATTAAGTAGATCTTGCGGAAGGACCGTACCGCAAAGAGTATAATATAGACAGTCTATTCTAATGCAAGCACTAGTGGCTGCTTTCATAGCTCGAACTCGTGATATACAGATCACGCGGAGAAAACTTTACCGTTGCTCCAAGGCTACCCTTCCAAGTAAATGCACCATCAAAATATAATTGTGACATTATTATTACCGTGTGAAAAGTTTAACTGTTATAGTGAATAAAGTTCAATGCGACATTTGTGACTTTAACTTTTATAAGTAGATAAAGTTAAATGACTATAGGTGAAATTAGCCTTTTGTTTCTTGAAATATTGTATGATAAGACTTAAGAGGGCTTACATTTCACTTGTTCTATTAACAGGTTATGTATGACCCTTCAGAGGAGCTCTTTGGACTTGCTGCTGATTTGCAGCCAAGGTTTTAGCTTCTTCTTTTTCTTCTGTTTCTATTTAATTGCTTGCATTAGTTCATGGATTATGTTTTGTTGCTGCTATAGTCATTGAAATCTGCATAGGCTGGTTATTTTGATAATTGAAGCATAAATTCTATACCCCTTCCTCATGATAAGGAACCCCTTTTCACGTATTTACTCGTAATTATCTATTGAGTAAGTTAACTATTGATCTTCCATCTGCATTCCTATGACCTGCTTTTATTCATTTTCCAGGAAGGTTGTTTCTAGTGCGTCGAGTCCAAGATCATGGTTTGGCCCAAACGGCCAATATATAAGAGAATTGCCGTGCCCGAGCTGCAGGGGAAGGGGCTACACTCCTTGTATTGAATGTGGAATAGAGAGATCCAGTTTAGATTGTTCATTGTGTAATGGAAAGGTAACTTCTTTTCTGGCTTATGTGTGCCATACCTCCGGTTCATATTATCTGTCTTTAAAGGTTATTGTACACCTAAGTTGCTCGGACTCGGGTGTGGGTATCCGATACGGGTGTGGATCTAGAGGTCGGATCTTTAGAAGTTTCTATATACAAGATATTCCATTTTCTTCAATTTCACCCTAACTTTTGTTTTGATTTCAAAAATCATTGTATTTGTCCCGAATTCCTCTATTGATTTTGGTCAAAGTACCCAAAATTGTTGACCAAATTCGATACAGATCCCACACCTACTACCATACCCACATCGTATCGACACAGGTGCGGCATCAACGGTGAACAGTTCGAGCAACTTTGTTGTACACCCCTTAAGAAAGACATTTAATAGCCTTAATCGTAAAAATGTGCTCTATTTGTTTAAATTAAACATCTCACTTGATTAACACTCCACTAATTGGAACAGACGAACAGTAAGGGTAGGTTCGCAAAAAAAGAAAGTAATAAATGATTTCTTGTTTTTCTAAAACGTCAAATATTTTGAGATATATTCCATTTGCGTAAGCGACTACTATTTGGGACAGGTGGGAGTGAGCTCTAAACTTACCTAAATATACACTTGATATGTCTGCTGGAATATCGATGCGATGCTCATCTATACAAGAGCTATGTTCTTAATAGAAGTTTTCATGTACGGCAGGGTATGATGACTTGTCATCAGTGCAGTGGAGATTGTGTCATTTGGGAAGAGTCTATTGACGAAAGGCCTTGGGAGAAAGCTCGGTCAAGGTAAATATTTCCTGCTTCATGTTTCAATCAGATTCCATTTTGCGAAAGTCATGTGTCCTCACTTTAATATTATTACATCGAGCACATAAGTTTGCTCTATAATCAAGTTCATCATTGTGCTACTCGATATATACCAACATGTTTACCTTGCCATCTGTGAGACTTCCTCCCTATTCCTATGGGTCGAGTGAGCAGAAACTTTCAATCTTTCTGATCTTTCTCCTTATTATGGTGAAGAAAGCACTAACGACTCAGGGGTGAGTCTTCTTCAGTTTGAGGTGGAGAACATTTGGCTTAAGTATGGCATTATGTTTTATGTAGTTACTTAACCATGTTTTATATTCTGCATCAGGCATCTTGTGTTGTAACCTTTCTTTCTTCCTATTTATATTACAAGCAATATTTCTTGGGGAATTTAGGTAACGTTGCCTTATAAGAAGCCTACATGATCTTTTTCAGTTCCCCTTTAAAAGTAAAGGAAGACGATGAAGTGGACAACTTAGACATAAAGCTTGATGCGAAGAGGAAAACTAAGCGTGTCTACCAATCTCCAAATACAGAAGTCAATTTGAAGATCAGCAGATCATTAAAAGTTAGTATTCATTTTTCTTTTAGTACCCTAGTTGTCCTCTCCACTAGCATAATTTTTCTTCAATCAAACTATTGGCACTTGGTTTCCTTATTTTGACGTTTCTATTTCACCATTATTATTGCATGGACAATGTAGTGAACCTTTCATTTGGATGATTCTTTGGATCCCTATGCAAATTCTTAAACTTCAGACGGATTCGTCAATTCTTGAATATAATCTTTTTTGTTTAGTTGGATGATTGCAGAGCTTAAATGCAAAGACTGGACTATTTAGTAAGAGAATGAAGATTATCCATGGCGATCCCACGCTTCATGCACAAAGAGTAGCTGCTATTAAGGTTTGACTTATCAACTTCATATCTAAATGATTGACCTCTAGCTATGCAAGTTCTGCTAACTCATTATAAGTTACTGCACGGAGCATGTCGGTCTGATTTTTCCTACGAGAGAAGTATGCAACATGTTAAAAAGTCATTTAAAGTTATCAATCATGATGTAAAACTAACATAAATTGCAGATAATGATTGGAATAGATGAGGTAGAATGGGGAGAGTATTTTCTCAACATTGCTTCAGCCAAACCTTAAAGTTTTAATTCGACATAATACTTGTTATGCAGAAAGCAAAGGGGACGCCTGCTGCTAGAAAACGTGCCTCCGATTCCATGAAAGATTACTTCCGTGATCCAGATAACCGTCGCAAGAGAAGTATATCCATGAAAGGTCTATAAAGTTTTTGCTCATGTCACACTTAAAATAATGGTAGTTTTGCTTTCTTCTTTGATTATATCATAGTTGTACTGAAGATGTCAAAAACGACCCCTTAATGTTCTGTTAATGGTCTTGAACTATTACACTACAGAAAATGATTACTGTAAACCATTAAACACTTAAACATGGAAAGATTTTATTCTTGTTTCCCTTCATTTACCTGTCGCAAAAAGTTGAGTTCACCATTT